CACGCTCACGCATGCCTGCTGGAAGTCCAAGTCCCTCGCACACAAAACCTCCTTTACCCCCTCCCTCCAACCTTTCCTAGGCCGACCCCTACCCCGCCTTCCTTCCACTACAGACTGATACACTCTTGAAGTCATTCTGTTTCGCTCCATTCTCTCTACATGTCCGAACCACCTCAGCAACCCTTCCTCAACCCTCTGGACAACAGTTTTGGCAATCCCGCACCTCCTCCTAACTTCCAAACTACGAATTCTCTGCATTATATTCACACCACACATTGCCCTCAGACATGACATCCCCACTGCCTCCAACCTTCTCGCTGTAACATTCATTACCCATGCTTCACACCCATACAGGAGCGTTGGTAAAACTATACTCTCATACATTCCCCTCTTTGCTTCCAAGGACAAAGTTCTTTGTCTCCACAGACTCCTAAGTGCACCGCTCACCCTTTTCCCCTCATCAATTCTATGATTCACCTCATCTTTCATAGACCCATCCGCTGACACGTCCACTCCCAAATATCTGAATACATTCACCTCCTCCATACTCTCTCCCTCCAATCTGATATCCAATCTTTGATCACCTAATCTTTTTATCCTCATAACCTTACTCTTTTCTGTATTTACTTTCAATTTTCTTCTTTTACATACCCTACCAAATTCATCCACCAACCTCTGCAACTTCTCTTCAGAATCACCCAAGAGCACAGTGTCATCAGCAAAGAGCAACTGTGACAACTCCCACTTTATGTGTGATTCTTTATCTTTTAACTCCACACCTCTTGCCAAGACCCTCGCATTTACTTCTCTTACACTCCATCTATAAATATATTGAACCACGGTGACAGCACACATCCTTGTCTAAGGCCTACTTTTACTGGGAAATAATCTCCCTCTTTCCTACATACTCTAACTTGAGCCTCACTATCCTCGTAAAAACTCTTCACTTTCAGTAACCTACCTCCTGAAGTTTTATCTTCATCATTATGGCAAACATTCACCTCGTATACCTCACCTTTTTGGAATGTATCCAAGCGATATTATAACCCTGATCAAGAATACTGTAGGCGTTATACCGGAGACCAGAAAGTCAGGGAAGAATTGTCCAGTTTACACAACAAATGGAGGCAAATGGTGAAAAATACTTCCAATGTAAAGCAGTGGGTGCAACAAGTAAAAAGATAACTCGGCAAGCGTAAAGGTTAAGAAAAAAAAAAAACATTCCCCCTTCATATACAGTATAAAAGGAATCACCGACACCTCATTAGCTGTCTTCAAGAAAGAACCTGACGGGTTTATCCGGTTCCTAATCAGGTTGTGTAGTATATGTTGGACTGTGTACTACTAGCACCAGTAGTCTGCCTGGTTACACCAGCATCCTTGGTTTGGTACCGGACCACCCGAGAGAAGGGGAAGTGAGGACATGTCCCATGCGACATGACCAGTGGTACTGGGCACCTGATGTTTGTACCACTGATGGCTCTGTGGTCAAAGGCGTCTCGGAATTCTAGCGGGCTCGGCAGGAGTGCTAAATTATCGAGGGTTCGATCTCCGGCTAGTCGTAGTATTATTTTCTTAAAACCGATCGTTCGTGGATGCAATAAATAAACACACACACACACACACACACACACGGGAGGGAAAGGGGGGTCAGGATAAACACCCACCCTCGTAGCTTAATTAGTTTCGTAAAATCCAAACTCTTGATAGAGGATACGAAGACAGCTAGTAGCCCGGCTGGTTTGAGAGAAACTAACACGTCCAGTCCTGCACCTGTATCTCACTACTGGTAAAGAGTCATACAACTACTTCAACAACCAGCCCCGGGTACCAAAGAAACCTTACCACGCCGCCACTAACGGTGACTAACCTCTCAGTATTGTTAATGACGGGCAGTGGAGCCACCTGTCACTAATGCCATATTAGCTCTCAGTTGTATAATGCGCCAATTCCTGCAAAATGTGGCAGAGTAGCCCGGTTGCTATGGATATTTAGGCCTGCAGGCCGCTGGCAGCAACAATCTGACTGACCAATCAACAGAAAAATCTGAACTCAGGCAATGTTGGAAAATAAGGAAATGGTATGGTGATACCGACAAGATGTGGCCTGGTCCCAGACCAGGCCACAGGGTGGATCAAGGCCTGATCAATCACACTGTTACTGCTGGCCGCACGCAGTTCAGTGTACGAACCACAGCTCGGCTGGCCAGGCACTGATATGAAGTACTTGTCCAGTTGCCTCTTGAAGATAGCCCGAGGTTTGTTGGTTGTCATATGGAGTTATTTCAGTATTCAGGTTTGGGACTAGACACTCAAGGATTTTCCAGATGTAAATTATGTACCTTTCTCGCCTACGTTCCAAAGAATACAGTTGAAGGGATTTCAAGCGTTCCCAGTAATCTAAACGCTTGTTTGAGTAAATACGAAGTGAATATTTGTAGAGATAAATATGCAATACTTAAACCTGCAATCATCTTGTCAAATTTAAAGCTAGCTATCAAAGAGAGAAACAGACTTAGCATCAGAGAATTGACAAGGCATATATGGTTTCTTCATACAAGGGAAAAAAAGGGCAAGTGCATAAACTATAAGGAAACAAGTCTAGTGAAAATAACAAAGTGCATGGCAGAGTTGTTGAAAAATATTGAGGAAGAAAGTACAGTACTGTATATATATATGCATATGTTAGGGAGGGAAGCTAGCTGAATTCTCGAGGCTTTAGTCAACTACGTCACCATGCTTCAAATATTAGATGTTCAGTTAGTATAGGTATCGGTGGGTTTCAGCCGATTTTTATGGTATTGGTTGAGTATCGATATTGACACACAAAAAAAATGGTAACGTCCCCTCAGAACTGGCTAAATGACTCGGGTTCGAGCCCCGGCTGGTTGCAGTATGTTATTTGCTTTCAACCACTTGTTTCCACCATGAACGTTTATCATAATAGGCATTTTTGTCGCATATATTAAAATCCACAATAGGCATTCTTTTGTTTTTACCGTAAGTAAATACAATGGAGGAGGGAAGTTGCACTTTAACAATGATCGTGTACAAAATTTCTCTAACCCCTTCAACTGAGGTCCTTTCCAATGCCTTCACACACGTTTTTATAATTGACTTTTAGGTTTCAAGTGATGCTAAGCATCACTGTAAATATAATACAAAATTAAGTAAGTAGCATCCTTCGTAAACCGCTAACAAAATTTAAGAGGATACATAAACACCCATACATGACTTATGTTAGAAGGTTTCCGAACTGTCAAGCAGCAGTCAAGTAACATAATCATACAGATCCAACTTCCTTGAAGTAAATGCGACAGAGATAAAACGATAAAGAAATCAGTCACATTCCGCTTGAGATAAGATATGGGAGTGGAGGGTACATACTAGTATTATTATTATTATTATTATGGAGCAGTTCACCCGTCCCTGTGCAATCTCCGAAACTCCTGCAGTGCTTTCCTTGCCTCGTCTGTGAAATAACTACTTGCCTGTTGATTCCTCCTTGACATTTCCGGGTATCATCGTCTGTGAGGCTACGTCTCAGACCAGGCCTGGTTGGTCACTTGACCAGTGCGGCTGTTAGTGCTCCTTACACACTTGGACGTAGGCACCACAGTCTGGCTAATCAAGAAGTATCCGAAGGATTATATCAAATTTCCTTCTGAATATAGTTGAGAACTTATTAGCAAGAGTGTTAAAAACTTTTAGACCCTGCATTCTCATCTTAATGTACTTATTTCACTTCTGCTCCTCACTGGATGCATTTTGTTTAGTTTACAGCGCCTCTCACTCTCGTATGCAGTACTTTTAACGTGCAGATTTGGAACCAACCTTCAGTATTTTCTCAACAAGTAGATTATGATGTATCCTCGCTGCCAATCCTGTGAGTACACTGAAAGGGATGTTAGGTACTCCCTAATAATTTAGAATTTTGACTTGACTTGATAAGAACATTAGGAGTTCTCTGCATGTCATTTTACAAGCATTATGTTAGGTAAACGGACACGTGCAAGTAATGTGACATTTTGTTCTTTCTCAAGGCACAGTCACTTCTGTTTCTCATTCTCATACCAAACATGGACAAGGGCATAAATATTTCATAGCACCACAATATCCTTTACTGGTGAATATCTCAGAAATGTCGTCCACCGAAGGCAAAGCTAATCTTCAAGCACATATAAATAAAGACTTTCAAGGTGCCTCGGATAATAGGATGTTCAGTGAGGACAAGCTACAGTTACCTCCCGGTTAGAAATACTGCTGTAGACTAACGGACCCCTAAGAGGTTTAATAAAACATTTAATACCAATGAAATGGTAATATGTTTATTTGCTAAAATTATTTGTCAGTTTGTTTCTTGTCGCAGACTCGCGAGTATGTTATGTATAAAAACATTCTTAGGGCAGGCGATGCAAAATGCCCCCAATAAAAAGTAGGGGCGCCATTGGTACATTAAGGGAAAACACCATAAGTGTCCGGGGCCCAAAACTGTTCAACAGCCTCCCATCAAGCATTAGGGGAATTGCCAATATGCCCCTGGCTGCCTTCAAGAGAGAGCTGGACAGATAACTAAAGTCAGTGCCGGATCAGCCGGGCTGTGGCTCGTACGTTGGACTGCGTGCGGCCAGCAGTAACAGCCTAGTTGATCAGGCCCTGATCCATCGGGAGGCCTGGTCATGGACCGGGCCGCGGGGGCGTTGATCCCCGAAATAACCTCCAGGTAACCAGGTAGTCCACAGCAGGATTCGAACCTGCAAACTCGGCATCAGAGTACGTAGTACTTTACCACACAGCCAGACTCCCAATAATACTGCGTACTTTGATGCCGAGTTTGCAGGTTCGAATAATGATGTGGAATGAGAGATAATATTTGTAAATAATTTCGCATGTTTGCGAATTGTTCAGCATGTTATGTATATGAATACTATGAGCTACTGCATTCAAAAGATTAACTGGATGAAGTTTTTATCATTAAAACACAAATTTTGCAGTACATACCTCATTTGGCTCGGAAATCTCAAAAAGGTCGAGTCTGTTGGCGTTCCACTGCTGGATGATATGTCGCAGATTCTCTCTCTCTTGGACACGTCGAGCTGCTGCTGCTGCGTCGTCACCCATCTGCAAGATACAACACACAAGTTACAACACAGCACCGATAAGAAAAAAAAGAGGAAGGTTTAATTCGAATTAACCCAAGAACGAAGGCAAGAATGACACATTATAATTTATACTTGAAAAATTTTGGAGGGATTAGTGTCAAATCTTCACACCGAAATCACATCACTACGGAGGAAAGAGGCTTTATAAACGGTACAAAATACTGTACGCATTGCAGGGACGCAACGAGTACACTAGGAGACAAATCAATAAGTGTAAGGGCAACAAGACTTTTCAACACTCCCATCATCCATAAGTGGTATATATTACCAATAGACCCCAGTGCAGCCCGCCAGTCCGTCACTAATTCAGATAAGGTAAACCTGTTTACAATAAGCCAAGTCACAATTTACTGCAGGACAAGAACACTCAGACTATCTTTTACACAGTTTTCTTTTCCTCCAGATCCTTAATAATCAATGCTACATCGTTTTAAATTATATCTGGTAACTCTTATTTATTTTATACACGGGTTTAGAATGTATCTTTATTACACTGCACTTAGGAACCTTCAGTTATTGGAAATAAAGAATCTTTGTCTTTAAGGCTCTCGTAAAATACTAACCTATGATAAACTTTCAATATACTAGCCTTATCAAAACCAGCTACTTTTGTGACTCTAAAGTTAATAACCATCACAACCAGACTACTTGTACGTCCCGCTCCGTATTCGTATTTTTCAAGACAGGTGATATATCCAAGCTAGAATGTACTACAGTATAAATTTTAGGGGTTTAGGGCGCTTAAAGCTTCTTAAAAAATTCAGAGAGGAAACGTAACAGGTTCTTTCAGGTTGCACGATATATTCAAGTTTTCATGTCAGTGAAGGCTGCATATCACACCTGTGACCAGTCTTGGGAGTTTCCTCTACTGTCAGCTCGACCTGTGGCCAAGCGGTTCCCTTGGTGGTTGACTAATCAGCCAGTTAAGGCAGTGGGTATTAGCTGCACGCAAATCAGCGTAGATCCAACAGTCTGGTTGTTCAGGAATGGTCTACCTGGTCTGTATATTTCCCTCTCGAAGATAGGAATCTATTGGTAAATCCCAATATATTTGAAGAAAGGCGTTGAAAAGCCATGGACCCTTTACACTTCGAGTTATCTCTTAGCATATATCCTGAGAATATCCATGCTTTTCACTGGGAAAACATTGCACAATCTCGTGCTTTGAGCAAGAGATATAAGTATGCTTATTTGAAGCCAGTCATTCCAGTTTTTTTGCAGGTGTATTTTATATACATATATTTTAGCCTGCATTCTTGAGAGTACAGTTCATGGGACTTAAGGCGTTCTCGATAATTTTGGTGCTCGAGCTGATTTAAGCAGTGAAGATTTTCTTTCCTTCTCCAGATCTGAAATTCTGCGTGTTTTAAATATATATCAGCACGCAGAGATACCACAGTATAAAGAAAGAACATGCTTTAAAGTAGAAGGCTGATACACAGCAACCATCCAAGGATGTACTACCGTGCTGCCGTAAATGTGAAAAGGAACCCCTTTAAATATTTTGCACTGTCATTACTGTTGATCCTTTGCCTTATTAACATGTAGAGTGAGAATGCAAAGCTAACGAGCGTCTACATTCGCCATAATAAAATTTACTTTTTTTTTCTCTCTCGAAGGGTCCTAAAATAACCTACCGTAACTTAACCTTATTCCGCCATCGGTAAATATGGGTTTTGTTTACATTCCTCCAGAAGCATGACACGACTCAATGCTAAGCAGTGATTGGCTCAGACGTGCTGCACAACTTAAGTAAATTATTATTTTTCGTCAGCAACGTCCAAAATGACAATTTACTCAAGCAATACTTATTCAGTGATGTACATAGGCTCTAAGGCTCTGTGTATTGTAAAATATCAATTAATGCCCGAGAACAGCATAGTAGCAGTAGTCGGCAAGATTAGCTAATTATCTGAATATGTCAATTAAATTTACGATATATTTAATTAAATTTGCATCTGCCCACATCGTCTCCATCAGGTGACTTACGACAATTCCATAAATCATCGCCCCAGCTGCCCAGTCCCAGACCAGACCTTGTTGCAGGTCTCATCGACCATAATTTTAGTACTGGCAGCATGCAGTCCAACGTATGCACCACAACCCTGCTCATCAGGAAGTGACGAGGAACTTATCAAGTTAACTCTTGAAAACAGTCAGAGGTTTGTCTGGTACTATCCTGGTCAACCAGGCTGTTGCTGCTGGTGGCCCGCAGCCCCACATAACCATCACAGCCTGGGTAATCTGGCACCTGGTAAAGATACGTGTCCAGTTTCCTCTTGAAGACTTTTACACTTGTTCCAGCAGTGTTTGTAATACCTTCTGGTAAGATGTTGAATAATCTGGGACCACGGACGTTGATAGTATTCCCTTATTGTGTCCACGTCATCCCTGCTTTGCATTAGGTTTACGTATTTTGTACTTGCTCCCATCTCCCTCACCCAGTATATTGTTATGGTAGCGTGTAGAGTTGGGACAATGCTCTTAAGTACTTTCCATGTATAATTATCTATCTCTTCTTCTTCGGTGAATACATATATTTTTTTACAACTTTAAACGCATTATTAGTATAAAAGTGGACGGTAATTAAGGTGTGCCAGATAACTGGGCAAATAATGGGGCATGGGAATTGCAGATACATTAAAGCAATAATTGAAAACTTTGATCAGAAAACGTTTCACTTACACAGCAGGGATTTTTTTAATGTCCAAGATCATACTTGGTAGCATAATATACTGGCACGATAGAGAAACATTCATTATAGTTAGTTGCAGACCCATTGGTCAACGATAGACTAAGTCATTTGCACGGAACCAGTACCGCTGGTTTTAAATGAAAACGACAAGGTACAACAACCAGTAGAGGGTAAGAGTTAAAGAAAAAAAAATCTAGAGCCTGGGGCAGGTGGGGCGCTATCATGGGAGGAGGGGCCAGAGGATGGGAAAGTGCTCCTATATCACCTTAGATACGTGGCAATGTGCTATTTGCAATGTGAGAGCATCTGCGAACTGGTCAGATTATAAATGATTCATGGGTATTTTTAATACGTCTGCCAATGATGCTTCATATTAAGAAAGCAAATACATAAACTCTCACAAACCATGCACAAACACATAAATCGTATATAACTAGATAAGAATTTTAAGTTTCTTGAAGCAAGTTCTGATGAGCTGGGCTGTGCTACTCACCTTGGAGTGCAGGCAGGGAGCATCAGTATGTCTGTGCATCTCGTAGAGATACAGACATGCTTATTAGTGACTCAAGAAATCGTAAAGTCGCTAACGCGACGGGCTGGAGTTTTGAGACTATGACCCCGGGTTCAATCCCGGCCGGGGGTATGGTTTATGCTTATTAGTCTTACCTAACAACTTTCTAAGTATTGTGGTCCTGTACCTAGCATGAAAGCTAATTAATTTTTAAGATATTTGCCACAGACAGCTTTACTCAGTATGCTCACATTGTTCACCCTAAATGTTCACACTAGTGTGTTCATTCTATGAATCACCATGTGTGTATATTCACTTCGTGTGCTATCTGTTACCGGCTCTGGGGATTATCTTTCCACGGCCCGGTCTCAGGCCTTATCGACTGGAAAGGCAATATTACAGGATTAAGAACTATTAAGGCACACAAAGGAAAGTAAGAGAGTGTGTATACTGAATGTCTACCTGGAGGGTATACCGGGTATCAACGCCCCCGTTGCCCAGTCCATGACCAGGCCTCCCGGTGGATCAGGGCCTGATCAACGAGGCTGTTACTGCTGGCCGCACGCAATCCAACGTACGAACCACAGCCCGGCTGATCCGGCACCGTCTTCAGGTATCTGTCCAGCTCCCTCTTGAAGACAACCAGGGGTCTTCCCTTAATGCTCCTTATTGCTGGTGGGAGGCTGTTGAACAGTCTTGGGCCCCGGACACTTACTGCGTTTTCTCTTAGTGTACCAGTGACGCCCCTACTTTTCACTGGGGGTATGTTGCATCGCCTGTCAAGTTTTTTTTGCTTTCGTATGGAGTGATTTCTGTGTGCATATTAGGGACCAGCCCCTCCAGAATCTTCCAGGTGTAGATTATATCTCTCTCGCCTGCGCTCTAGTGAGTACAAGTCAAGTGCTTCCAGGCGCTCCCAGTAGTTAAGGTGTTTGATGGAACTTATATGTGCAGTAAAGGTTTTCTGCACATTCTCTAGATCTGCAGTTTCACCTGTCTTGAATGGGGATGTTAATGTACATCAGTATTCCAGCCTAGAGAGAACAAGTGATTTAAAAAGGATCATCATTGGCTTAGCATCACTTGTCTTGAATGTTCTCATTATCAATCCTACGAGTTTCCTCGCAGATGTGATAGTGGCATTGTTGTGGTCCTTGAAGGTGAGGTTTTCGGACATTACCACACCCAGGTCCCTCACATTACTTTTCCGCTCTATTGTGTGATTGGAGTTTGTAGTATACTCAGTCCTAGTTATTATTTCCTCCAGTTTTCCATAACGGAGTAGTTGGAATTTGTCTTCATTGAACATCATATTGTTCTCTGTTGCCCATTGGAAAACTTGGTTTATATCTTCTTGAAGCTTCGTCGTGTCCTCGATGGATGACACACTCCTGCAGATCCTAGTATCGTCTGCAAAGGATGATACAGTGCTATGGTTTATATCTGTCTGATATGGGAATAAGGAACAGGAAAATTGCGAGTACTGTGCCTTGTGGGACAGAGCTCTTCACTATGGCAGCATCTGATTTAACTGTTTACCACTACTCTTTGTGTGCGATAGGTTAGAAAGTTGAAGAGCCATCTGCCTACTTTGCCAATTATCCCTTTAGCTCGCATTTTGCGGGTTATTACACCATGGTCGCACTTGTCAAAGGCTTTTGCAAAATCTGTGTATACTACATCTGCATTCTGTTTGTTTTCCAGTGCATCTAGGACCATATCAGTGGTCTAGCAGTTGCGAAAGGCAGGAGCG